AATTCTTTTGATTCTCTTTCATCGTATACACGTGCACATCTCCACATTCATTAATAAAGCACATTTTATGTCTGTATAAAATTTACAATATATTTTGATGACAATGAACCAATTTTAAAGTATTGCAATGATAAATGTTATGGTCAATATTTATTTTTTTATGAATACAATTTTTATTTTATTATTTTTTTGTATATTGTTGCTTTAATATTCGATGATATGATAATAATTTACATAAATCACGTTTTTCTCTATTGTGTTAAAAGAAGTTTTTTTTTTTGTTTCCTACATACATACAAAAAATTGTACAATTTTTTGAACTCTATTAGCGTTTAAATATAAAATATGTTGCCGGACATTTATGAGTAGTATTAACATTCCTATGAAAATTTTAAAATAATCAAATCAAATGAAAATCAAAGATTGAAGCTCAATATTCTAGACACAATATTAGAGCGGGAGGAATTGGCCTAAATGAAAACGAGGCGTAGTTCTATAGAATTGCAGTATTGGATGTATATTTACCCAGTCAGATGAAGACTATTTAAAGCTCATGTCAGTGACAAACTTGAAAGCCACTCAGATACGTCCTCATTGGCTGGAAGTACCTGTTTCTGAACCGTAATATACGTCCGTTCATCCACATCAGTTCTCAATAGAGTCATCGACCCATCAACATTCTATTTAATGGTGTGTGATTACAGACTTTAACTAAGTGAACTCAACTTTTTCTCGAAGCAATATTTTTTAACCACATCATTCCAGGAGAGGCGCAGTAGAAGAATATTTCCGAAAGATCCCTCGAGCCAATGATGAAGTTCCATCGAGAACTGGTGATATACATGAAGTAGGCAAATTGGCGGTAATGCAATATTTACATTTTATAACACATACCAACGTATATTTATGATAACAAATATTTAACAAGCATAATTTACATATTTATTATATTTGCCTATATAATAAATTTTATATTTTTATAATCATTCTAAAATTATGACATTGTTTATTTAATATAATAAAAATCAGAAAAATAAAAAAAGAAGGAAATTTTCATTGTGTTTAAAGAAGAGAAAAGAAAACTCTTTTTTATTAAATAAATAAAAAGAAAATAAAAAATTTGAAACCAAAAAAAAAATAATAATGAAAAGCTTTTCATACCGGAAGCATTTGGGGAAATGGGAGAAGTTCAACATTAAAAAAAATATAAATTTTCGCAGGTGATTTATTTTTCCCCAAAGAATTTTTCAACGTAATTAAATTCAAACAAATTAACGCATTTTGTTTACATCTCTTAAAATTATACTGGGAAACCATATGATGATATCACGTGATATTGAACTCTCATTGTTTGTGTTGTGTTGTTCTCTTTAAAAATATTTTAAGTTTTACAGTTATGAAAGTTGGTAAATTAGAAATAAGAATTCGTTTTACCTTTTTACATTGTATAACAATATTCTCATATACACATTTATTAATCAAATTGTGTTATACATAAATAACGATTTATTGTTATAATGAAAATGATAGGTTAAAAGAACATTATTCTTGTGTTTTCTTTAAGTGAAAAATTAAAATTATTTTTAATCTTTAAAGAAAATTAATAATATGAAGAAAAGAATAATATGAAGTAAAGAATGGTATAGAAAATTAATTGAAAATGTAATGTTTTTAGTTTTAAAAGTCTTTTGTTGCACAAATGTTATAATTTTCGTGATATGACCTATTTATAAAGAGAAGTATAATATTAGTAAGAATGGCTCAAAATGGAAATATTTGGAATATATATTTATTATATCAAGACCATGATTTTATGAATTTTATGGCAAATAACTGTTATACAGTATTTACTCACAACAGCTCTTCAAAAGATAGTCTCCAATGAATTTATTTGAATTTTTAGTAAAACAGACAAACTGAACTGTCAGAATTCAGCAGTTTTTTCAGCAAAAAATTTTTAAACCTTAAATTATTTGACATTAATTGAAACGCTTATATCAAGAAACTAATGGATTAAACCATTATAATTTAAAATTTTATTTTTTTTTTCGCAAATATACCGTAAAAATATTAAATGTGTTCACATATAAATTATCTGTGGTTTAATATTTTCCAACATTATACAATAAAAATATTTGTGAGCTTGATAATGTGAAATTTGAATAACGGTATTAGAACAATAAATTTCATACATACAAAATTTCTATATATTTCATTTCCTTATAAATTGACGTTGGATTTTTTGTTGTTGTCGACGAAAAATAATTAAAATTAACATTCTTATGTGGTTAAAAGAGATTAAACCTGAGACAATATCCTTTTTCGTATTTATGTATAAATTGTTATTATACAGGTATAAAGTTCATTTATGTACGTGCACAATATGTATATACCATACATACGTATGCTCCTTTAAACATTTTCTTATTAATATATCACATTATTTATTATAAAGAATCCTTGTATAATTTCCAACCTCTTAAAGAATCAAGTAGCTCATTAATTTAATTTTTTTTGTTTTAGTTCTGATTTTCATCGTTTTTATAAAGAGTTAAAAATTTGGTTTAAACATTAACGGTAAGAGAACAGAAGTTTTAAAGACTTTATGTTGAAATTTTCACATGTTAAAAGTCTTATGAAAGAAATTATTGTTTTTAATTTGAGCTGTTGTATATTTTGTAGGAAAAATTTTATGAATTAACTAATGATAGCTGCTAAAACAATAAAAATTTGCGAATTAGTTCAAATAATTGCTCATTTTCATTTTTAAATTCGATTTAAATTAAATTTCTAATGAAATAATTAGTTTTCTCTTATAGTCAGTAGTACATTTGTAAGAAAGCGAGAATCGGCTCGACTATAGCTATAGAATAATTTTTCTAGTAAATATGTGGACATGATCTGAGTGAGTTAAAACATAATGTTAAACATAAACTGTATAGCAGTCACTTTAATATCAAAAATGAATTAAAATAGTACAGTGTTAGACTCGGTGTTGCAATAAGCATTTGGATGAAATTAATTTACTAGAATTGAAACCAAATGCTGAAATATGGCGAAATATACAGCTCAGAATTTATTAAAATTCTCAGCTGTAGAATAATACGTCAAATAGCATATTATGCTAAATTCTAACTTATTACACTGAATTTTAGTATATTTCGCCATATTTCAGCTTATTAGTCCATTTTGGCATATTTTTCTAATTTATGATACTTCTAGCACATTATAAGAAATATTACCTTATTACGACAAATTCTAACCGATTACGTTAAATTTTAGCATATTATGCCAAATTTGGCATTTTCTGCTAAAATCTACCGTATTATGCCAAATTCTAACTACTACCCTAAAATTTTTCGTATAACGGCAATTTTTAGCATAATACGCTAAATTTGCCATATTCTGCCAAAATCTGGCATATTATGCCAAATATAAGCTTATTATGCCAAATTTTAACATATTACGCCAAATTTGGAATATTTTGCTTAAATCTAGCATATTCGTTTAATATTTTGTTAAGTTCCATATTAAAATTATGTTCCATATTAAAATTGTCTAAAATTTAACATAAAAAAGTAGGAAAAAAAAGTAAGCATAAAATTTTGAAAAATAGTTTCATCTATCTTTCATGTTAGTGCCGAGACGAAAATTCATAAATTATTTTCCAAAAACGAAAAAAAAAACAGAAAACTATTAAAAATTATATTTTATTTCGCGAATAGAAGCGAAAAACATTGAAAAATTATGAAAACTACCGTTTATACACAATTTTATTCTATGTGCTAAGAAAAAAAAAAGTTGCAGAGGTGACTAGGTAGAGATAGGGAATGGAAATGTTTAATGTGAAAACAACGTTATATGCACCTGTAAAATTAAACAATGTATCATTTGGATAGTAACTTAGACGGGTGCTCATTATTGTTATACAATAGTATGTACGTATATAGGCTCATAATGCTTTTAGTATATAAAAAATTTACTTAATTATGTTACATGCAGAAGATGTACAACATAGACCTAAACGTATTACCTACTGGCCTTCTTCATTTAAAATATTTTACAAAAAATAATGGTTTTTTCCATGCACTCGCATTAACAACTAAGAAGTTGTATGCAAATTATTGTTTTGTTATATGTTTTAGTAAATGTGAAAAATATTTTCTATAAAATGAGAAAAATATTTTAAATTTTCATTTATGGTACATGATGATAGTGTAGTATTCGCATGCATGTAATGGAAGTGATATATAAAAAAATCATTTAAAACAAATACTTTTTTCATTTAAGGAAATAAATGACAATCATTTATCAGTCAGTCAGGAAGGGAAAGAAAAATTTTAAAGTTTATATGAAGATTTAAAGCTATAAGGCAAATTACAATTGAGAAACTTAAGAGCTTCCTTATTTTTGTATTAATTACATCTGAGCGAACTGAAATTTAAAGAACATTTTTTCGGGTCTTGCATTATTACTTCTCTTGTAAATCTAAATCCTAATTTCAAAATTATTTTTTTAACAGTGTGATTTTAATTATAATTTAAATTACACTACTGAATTTTATATTGTGTATGCTCAGAGATTATAATGATTATAATTATATTTTCATAGTAATTATAAGTAAAAAATTGTAATTATTACGAGCAGAAAATGAAAATTACGTAGTTTTTCACTTTCTTTTAAAAAACTAATTTGAAGATTTTAAGCTCATGCAGCGTATAACAATATGATTGAACAATATTATTACAACTTTCTCTCGTATACATTCAAACGCGATTAATCTTAAGCAGATTATAGTTGACTGATAACTTATCTTGAAGCTAATTTAAATCCTCAATATTATTTTAATCTTAAGCTTACATAAAATTTACTAGATTTAAAAACTTAAGTGTATTTAAAAGTAATTTCAAAAATTTTTCATAATTATTATGGTAGTAATCTAAAGGCGGAATACCTTGTATATTATTTTTTTTTAAATACTGATTAAACAATAAACTTACCTTGAATCAAATTTTTTTCCATCTGTTAATGTACCAGTATAATGCATTGTTAACATGTCACCATTTTTTGATTTTTGTTCACATATTTCTGGTACACTAACTACTTCTACTTTAAAATCTTCGGCAGCACAATAAACGGTGGCCATAAGGCACGATAATATAAGTACAGATTTGAACATCTATAAAAAGAAAAATATTAAATTAAAAATTAAATTATTAATTTTAATATAATATTAAAATTAATTTATAATTTAATCAAATTTCACTAAATTATTTATAAATAAATTTGAGCATATTTTGACCGGGCTAATTAAGAACCAGTTTATTAATTCACTTAAATTGCACATAAGTAATCGAATGTGATTCAAATATTTGGAAGACCAGTTTTTTTCCCCCATTAACTGGTTTTCATTTTTGTATATCAATTATTTTTGAAAGATATTATAAATTTATCATCTGATTTTCAATGTCATTGTGGCGTTAATTAAAGGTGTGCTTTATTATTATGCATATTTAGCAGATGAAGGGAATTGTCTGCCAATACTGGAATTTTCTCGTTTTTAACAATGAACTGATTCGTTGAATAATTTTTAACAATTGATGTTGGTAAATTTTCTTTGAAATTCTGTTCTTATTCTAATTTTTTATGTTATTGAAATGTTCTCGAACTTTTACTATTCATTTCGAAAATAAAAATATTAAAATTTAACAAAAATATTTTTGACTTCTGTAAACAAAAAATCCAAATAGTCCTTAGAATATCAAAAAATTTGTATGATCTATTTAGTTTTAAAAATTTATAATAAAACTGTTAAAGCTTAATGTTAACGTTCAGCTTTAACAGCAAAAAGTTGAATTCGCGTTTGCAGTCGTAACAAAAATTCCTTTCAAAATGGCAGCACGTTTTTGTATAGTTTGCTGTAAAAAGAATTCCGTTTTTGTTGGTAGAACTGCAAAAGATCTTCTTTCAAATCGGCAGCATTAAATTTTTTTCTGCTTTTATATTCATAACCTCAATTAGTAGAGAACTCATTATTTAAGTATAATATAGGATCAAACTTATTGACAGAGACTTAGAACAGAGTTCTTGTTCGTAGCGCTACTTTAGTAGCTATATTGCAGTGCAATTTTATTTAATTCTCAAACGCGAATTCAACCAAACATCAATTTGAAATGGAATATGAATTCATAATTGAATACCTTCATTTAATAAAACAAATAACTATTGTAGCAACGGATTCGTTCAACACAAATATTATTTTGCCTGCTTGCATTTGTAAACAACAAAACATGCTGTGATCTTAAAAAGCTCTTCTATATTAAAATATTAATAATTATGAAAGAGTTTGTCACCCCCCTGTGCAATTTTTTTTCACTTCTATAAGATTCACTTTGCAAGATGCACTTTTGTCCACCACTTACACAATCATTGATTTCTTTTTACATATTTTGTATTGTACGTACATTCTGCTGAAATATTTCATTTGTAGGAGTAGATTTTATGGAATTTTAGTTGGAACAAATTTTTTTTATTGTTTAAATCACTTTAAACCATGGAATTTCCGTATTCGCTTGCCATTTACTTATTGCTTAAAACTATAATTTTTTTTTCTACATACAAGGAAATCAAAAAATAGTCAACCGCATATGAGTAAAAGATTTTTTGTAATTTTGTCAAATTACGTAACTTTATTTACTTATTGTAACCAATAAGTAACGATGGAGTATTATCGGCATGAAACATGTTTTACCTTTCATTTTTCCATGATTTTTATTGACATTAATGACATAAAATAAATTTTACACATATTTACAATTAGGAATCTCTTTTTTTTTTTGTTATGCAAGTAAGTAGATAAAATTTAATTTTGAAAAATGTATGTACGTGTAAACATATCTTGACATTTAATTGCATAATGAAATGTGCCAAGGTATATTTTAATAACTTTTACGCTTAAAAAATTCCTTAAAAATTTTTTATATCTTTTTACATTACTGTACGCTAAAAATATTTTTTAAGCGACATTTTTCATCAATTAATACTCGTAATATTGCAGAAAAGTGTATATTATTCCCCAGTGCTACATATTTTAGAAACAGTACGAAAATTATAGAGAACTTCCTAAGAATAACAGTGAAAAACAAATAAATGGAATAGGATAGAGAAATGTGCTATTCAGAGGAGAGGAGAAGACCGACTTAAGACGCCTCTACGATCTAACACAATTTAAGAAAAAATTAATCCAGGCACATAACAAAGGGAGGTGAATTCTATGACGAAAAGGAGGAGTATGGTCCTGCCTGAAGTAACGAACGAACGATACTGGAATTCATCGTAGAATAGTTAGTGATTTGGCAGGAGAAAGCATCGTAACAAAGAGTTTTCTAAAACTCTCGATATATTGAAGTTCGCAGTTATAATTTCATATTCGCAAAATTATAATAGTTTCATAAATACCAAGAAATAACTTCTGTTAAAAATAAATTCAATGAAGTGTGTATAAGAATTTAAACACATAGCATAAAAAAAAATTGTAAGTTTAACTTTGCTGAATAATTTGTCTCTACTTATACTCATTAAACATGAGTACTCTTAACAGTCTCAACCTCATAAACTCTCATAAACTCATCAAAATGACCTTATTTCCAACCTTTAAAAGCATATCATAAATAAAAGTAATTAATTAATTTAAAATTATAATAATTTAATTTTTTTCCATAAAATTTATCATTGAAAATATTTAGTTTCTAATTATATTTTATTTTATAATTATTACAGCCATTACACGCGCAACATTGTTAAATTCGTCATTATGATAAAAACAGTGTTACCTACACTTATAATTTAAATTATCTAAAAAATGATCATGAATGTTGTACACTCGGTTAATCACAGTAGTCGCATGTTAATATGACCCAGGCAAAGACTATTAATAAGTTTCATTAAGTGAGAGTAAACCAAAAACGTTATTTTTAAGCTAATCAAATATATCATTTATTCTCAAATAATAAAAAAATCATGATTCATAATTAAGAACAAACGATACAAAACCTTTTCCATAACCGGCAACTTCGACTTTCTAAGAATTTTTTTTATTAATGTTACATACACAGGGTCGATTTCGCCAAATTAGTTACAATTGCACCTTTTTTTAAATTCCTTCATCATTTACTTTCTGTCATTCAGACAACTTTTCATATATTACGAACCATAGCGAAAATAATACTGACCAACAACCATTTTGTTTAGTTTAAACCAAAAATTGAGCTTATTTATGCACACATAACACAAAAAAAAAAAAGCGTTTAAGAATCAAATTGCATCTTCACTGATTCCTAGAATTCGGAGTTTTTACCAAAGCATAAAGTGGAATATATATGACTCATTCAAGGATTTTCATTCTATATTAGAGTATCAAGTTCTTATTCTTCATATTTTTAATACTGTAGTCTTCATATAACAGAGAGTAGTTAATGTTAAACAATTGCTGTTCATATAAACGTGTGACTACTGTATATGTAATAAAATTTAATTAATAAAAAAATTATATAAGGGTCAACACCTTTAAATTGTCAAATGTGTATTAAATGTTTTGCGGTTCGTTGATTTTATTATAAAATTATAACCGTAAAATATTTGTAAAATAATATAATGACTAAAATATCTTTGAGATATTTTATTTAATATACGTATATACACAATTAGCCTCTACAAATATTTATATATTGTGTGCGTGTGTTTGTAGTTCATATGAGTTATAGTTAAACAAAAAAAATTTTAAATTTCAATGAACTTGAATTTTCTTTTTCATATTATACATAAGTCTATAATAAACTTGATTTATTTTTTTTAAAATGGTTTATTTCAAGATTTTATCAAAATGATTTTCTTTTCGTTCACGTTTTTCTTAGCCACGCAACACAAAAAAGTGGAAAAAATGAGGAATAAATTTTGTCTTTTAAATTACAATTCAAATGTATTGTGTTGCTTACAAATAAATTCATATAAGAAATTTTATAATTTAATAGAAAAATCGAATAGTAAATAAGTTGAGTTTCGAACATAATTATTAAATTGCCTGGCATTCATTCAACTTTCTTCATTATTATTTTGAATTTGGCCCAATTACACTCAACAATACCATGTTATTGTTTTAAATTACATTTATTTGCGATCGAGTTCAAATTTGAAATTCCTGATTAGTGATTCTATTCATTATTTGACATTAATATTGTGTTTGGCATTGTTCAACTTAAATTTTGTTAAAAAAAATTTAATAACATTTAGGCCTAAATTAAAATTTATTATTTATGCCTAAAATATACTTTGAATATGTTTAAAAATTTCTACAATAAACACAAAAAAAATAAGTTTGTATTTATTTTCAATATATAATTAGAAGTTATAGTGTAAAATATTAGTGATTTGAAACGAAAGCAAATATATACAAACTCGGATTTAAAATGTTGGTGCACAATGGAACAAGGACAGTGGAACTAGTTCTATGCTACGGCAAGTAGAAAGTTAGTAGTTAAAAATAGAAGTCACAGAGAAATTTATGTGAAAAATTTTTAATTTAAAATTGAAAAAATTTTTCAAATTTAATAATTTTATTAAAAATACGATAATGTAGCTTTTATTTTATGAATTTGGTATCCCCGTCCTACCCATTTTTTACTTTTTGAAGTTGAATTTTGAATATTTACAACAAATTGTTCCCATTTTCCAGTTTCAAATGCTTTAATTATTTTAAGGCCATAATTCCAAAGCCCGATTATAAATTTTGAAAAAATCAACTACTTATGTACGTAATTATTTTATACTTCATCTTACTTCATTAAATTTATAAATTAAATATTAAACACAAATATCAACACATTTGTATTATAAAAAACTGAACTCAAAATTATTTGATTTTTTTTTTCATATTTCTTAATAAAAATTAATTAAAAATTTTTTGTAACAAATTTTCTTAAAAATACGGCAAAAAATATTTAAAATTTAAATATTATTTAATTATAATTAAAAACATACTTTTATTTTCTCTTATAAATAGCTACAATATTTCTTAAAAAATAAAAACAATCTTTAACATTCACGCTTAAAAATTCAACTGATGAAAAATCTTTTCCACTATTTTCAATGAAGACAACATAACTGAGGAACATACACAAAAAA